AATCATATGCCTGTATTTGGCTTGCAAGTATTTTTTTTCTTTTATTCCCATAAAAAGTTCAGGTAATGCAATTGCAGTAGCCATCTCTAAACCCAGATCTGGGTGTGAATGGAGATACAAAGACCCCAGGGCTAACTGGCTGAACTGGGGAATGCCAGGTTCATTGAGAGACTTTGTCTCAAAAAATAAGGTAGAGAACAGGAGGTGGTGGTGTACATCTTTAATCCCAGCACTCGGGAGGCAGAGGCAGGTGTTTTGCTGTGAGTTCAAGGCCAGCCTGGTCTACAGAGCAAGTTCCAGGACAGCCAGGGTTGTGACACAGAGAAACCTGGTCTGGAACCTCCCACCCCCAACAAAGAAGTAGAGAACAATTGAGAAAGACACCTGACATGGATATCTGGCTTCCACATCCATAAACACACACATGCATACCCCACCAACACACACAACACCATAAAGAAAATTCAATAATATTTGGAAGTAAGGTATTACCTCCCTATTTTAATATCAGTTTATATGATTTTCAAGTGATCTTTGATTCACTGAAGTCTTTTGCCTAGAATTAAGTTTTGTCTGTTATCAAGGTTTGGGGACATTTCTTTGGATTTTACTTGTCTGTTTGTATATTTTTCTAGATTTTTCTTCAAATCTTTATTTTATCAATATTGTAACTTCTTAAATAGTTCCTGTAAATGAGATACCCCTTAAAAATTCAAGAAACCCCCAGCGTCCTACATTATTGTATCTACCTGTGGCTCTTTGTACCTGGAATCTTCCAGAGTCACAGATGATGTGAAAAGACACTGAGAAGAAGCAGGATGTCTCCATTCCCAAAGCTCATAGTCCCAATGATTTCATTACTGATGCAGAAGTTGACACTCACCCCACCCCATGCATGGCTGGAATTCCTCAGCAGCTGCTCTGACAGATGCAGACCCCAGATGCCTGTAACTCTTGTTGTGCTCTGCCCCTCACTTCTGGTCCTGGAAACACAGGCTGATGCTCCCGAGAGGCCAGAGTGGCATCCTTCACGTAAGTGAAAAGAGAGGCTTGGGGTGACGTCTGCTCTCGGGACCTTTATTTTATATATGTTGGGATTTTGTCTGCATGAATGTCTGTGCACCATGTGCTTGCAGTACCTGAGCAGTCGAAAAGATGGGGGAGAGGGTGGATATCCTGGGACTAGAGTGTTGCCATGGGTTTGGAGTGTGTGAGCAAGTTGGTCTCTGATTTTTTTTTTTAACTTTTATTGATTCTTTGTGGGTCTCACATCATACATTACAATCCCACTTGTCTCCCTGTCCCATCACATCTGCCCTCTGCCTTTGTAAGCTCCCTCCAAAAACAAAGCTCAATTTAAAAGAACAAACAAAACAAA